CGGCGCTCTACCACTTGAGCTAACCGGGTGGCGGTTGCTATTAAATAGGAAGGCTTTCACACACAAGAATAGTCTGGAGGCTTTCTTGTTCTTACCTTACATTTCCCCTTTGAATGAAAGGACAAGGGATAGGGTTGGAGAACAGGAAAACGATTGCAAAATGCGGGGATTAAATTCAAAGTGGTAGCTTTTTTTCATTTGAACCCTTAATTATCAGTCAGCGACCCAAAGATATCATTGACGGGCATTTCTTGTTTTCAAGGCTTCGCAAACAAAATGTATTCTTCGTTCGCGTAACAGGAAATGCCTGTACCTCAACTTCAACGTCAACTTAATTCATCATTTACTCTAAATGTTAATTTCACAAAAGTGCCTCCCTGTGACACAAAAGACGGAACTGATTAAGGCAAGAGTTGCATAAGACATGGTTAAAACAAATTAGATGCCAAAATAAATAAATAAATGAATAAGGTAAAAGATAGTTCAATAAAACATTACTTAATAAATAAAGGAATGACTAATAAACCTACAAGAAATGAAATGACTCGTACTCCTCTAAAAAGCAGGTGCGAAACATCACTGTCATCCCAGAAGAGAAGTTTGTCGGTTTATGAAACTGTGCATGATCAAACCTCAAATGTAATGACGTGAATTATTGAACGACGCCAACCCACAGGGTGCATAAAACCTAAACCACCCACTTTCACATGTTTGAATTTTCCGTGCTAAGGTTTGAGCGCGTTAATTCATCTCCCTTCTTTTCGATTTCCGATTGGTTGTTGAAATTTGTACATAATTTTCTTCTTTTCGATTTTACTTACACTTCGGTGAAAACCTTATTCATCTACAAGGGACATCAGTACAATTAACAAATCGACAGTCGGCTAGCGAGGTCTATACTCTTATCGACGACGATATTCGTCATCACGGTCGTTCATGTTTAAGAGGTGATTAAGACATTGCGTGACACGTTGACGCGAGTAGCGTTGTCTGTACTCTTACCGACAATGGCAAATTTCCCAGTCAGATTGCGACATTCCCGCCAATCGTGATAAAAAAAAAACATACAGAAGACTGATATTTCATACTCCTTTGTAAATATAATATGAATAACCTTGATATTTGTATTTTAACAGTGATTCAGTCCGCTACCCCACAAATGGATGTTGACAACGAAAATTATTATGAAACAGATAAGATATCCACTGAGTTATGAGGGAATGACTTAAGAGCGTAGCATGGCAAAAAGGACGATTAACTTGCAATTGCTTTTGGTGTAGGTGAAGAAAGTTATCCTAGAAACTTAGTACTTCCTGCTTCAGCTCGAAGTAGATAAAAAAAGAAATTACTTTGATCACAATTTTGAGGAATATTGTAACTGTTTGGAAACTGTAGACTTCTTGGAGCCTCTCTGTAGATATTTTGCACAGGGCTTGTATTTTGAACGCAATGTACCATAACAGCTGGAGTGATAGAACTTGGTATGTTCTTCTCAGGCTCCTTCTTTAACTTCAAGCGGCACCGTTTGTTCTTGAACTAATTCTAGAACGAAACACAGGTAAACAACAGCATGATTTAATCAGAAGTCTACACAGGATTTGACGATACAAAGGGCCAAGTCGCTTGGACTACACTTTGGCTTAACTTTTCAAGAAAATCAGTTATTTTGATTGACCTTTGTGATAGTCTTTATTTGTGATAGTCTTTATTTATT